ACGAATTCATTATGCACTCCATATGTAAACAATTTCATAAGTAACACATAAAAGGAGCAGTTTCAGAGCATGCCACGTTCTAAAACCGGTGCACATCTGAACATGGCCATTTTCAGCGGGTGAAATACCCACCGCTTCCGCTTAATACATGTCGAAATTTTGAGAAATCTCAGCGCTACGTGATGATGCACGTCAATGACGGTATAGTGATATCCGGACTGATCAAAACATCATGGCCATTCGATTGCTGGGTGATGTTCATATTCGTGGTGTGTATTTTCAAAAAGTGAATAGCTGCCAGGATTTCAGAAAGCACCAAGGTAGGTGAATTGTTCTGCCTAGTTACGAAAACGTAATAGATTCACAATTGAAAGCTAGCTTTGCTTCTATTCTTAGCTTCACATACTGCCTTTTGTAGTTTTGACTTTTTACATTTTTTAGGTGGTACTCTCGATGAGAGCTGCCCAACCGCATACACACCCAGTAGGAGCTCAAGGAGACCAACATTATCCACCGGTAACAATTTTCTAGTGGCAATTACATATGTCTAGTCATGAGCCGTAGAAAACAGCGACCGGCATCGTTGCTAATCGGGAAGTGGGCTCTCAAAGCCCAATATCCAGGACTAGCTGGAAGGATAACTTCCCCATGCGTGTGGTAGACCCACGTCAAGCTACAGTGATGATTATCATCAAAACAGAAACAAGTTTTTGTTTGGAAGATTAGATGGTGGGGACACTCAGCTTTTGAGAGCAGAGGACCAAAGAGATTAGAGATACAGTTAATAATCTTCGACGCTGAGTATGGGGTGAGCCTTCGGGTCGACTACTCGCAGTGTGAAGAACTCTTGGGCAATTCCAAATATTCAAACCTAAAACAAGTAATTTCGGACCTATCTCCCAACAGGCTCCACTTTGTCGCGAAGGGTCACGCCCCTCGACCGATAACCGCTACGTGGCAACGAATATTGGGACTGATTTCGATAAGACAAGAAACAACATGAACTTCAGCAGTGGAGCAAGAAGCTTGACACGATATGAACAAGCCAGAACTTCTGAGTTTGCCGTTTACTTCGCGTGATTAGCAAGCGACAGACAGCGACAGCGACATTAAGATATAAGATATAGGTAAATAAATGAGCAAATAAAAAAAAAATACTCAACTGAAAGATTGGATACGCACTAATGAGGAGATTAGGAGGAGCTCATGTCCTTAAAGGGGGACATTCGCAACGGCATTTAAAAATTGCTGGTAGATGACACAAGGAAAGAGTAAGTTCAGGAGCGAGAAGAAACGCCAAGGTGAACAAAAACATGCTCACATCCTCTCCCTAAATTTCTTCCCCTCGCTACGGTTACTCCCAGGTACTGTAAGTTACCCACCCACCTAAATGCCCCCCCCCTCGGCAACATTTAGGCGTCCAAATCTAAACCAATCAATATACAGGGTGTCCCAAAATTATTGGGGCGCCGAAATTCAAAAATTTGTTTGGCAAAAGTACTCGATTATTCTCCCTTCATTTGCTGATGATTAGTTACACACAAAGGTCCTCTTGTAACCTGTTTGATTGTAGGTGTGAAATCCCTACTATATTCAGGAGGGCGGGAGGTCTTTCACTGCGACCTGCGATCATTCGCATGCACGAGGTGGATACCCCAATGAAGGACAATGTCAAATATTTTGTAGTTTCCACAAGGGTTATACGGAAGGTTATCCTACGATACTAGGAAACAGCGTCCATTATGCATAGGCCTAAGAGAGGTAGAAAGGCTGGCCGTTCTGCCGGAAGGGTGTCTGAAAGGTTCCATTCTCAAATTGACCGCGACCCACGACGCTCCTTCAGAAGAATGGCGGAGGAGCTGGAGGAATCGAAGTCATCGATGGGAAAGGTAGTCAATGAAGAACTACATAGCCGTTCCTACCATATGCAGGAGTGTCAGCTCATTTTCGATATCAACAAGCAACAGAGGGTCAAAGATTGCAGAAGGTTGCTCACCCGCCTCAGTGAGGACACGCACCCTACCACCCTTTCTTATGAGGAAAAAATTTCCATAGCAGAGCGGATTGGCAATAGCCAGAAAGATTGCATTCCGGGCAGAAATGTCAGGAGTGCTACTCCACGCTAAAAGATTGTTTGCAAATCACCGAACTTGGTCTCAATTTCGGTTTAAAGGAACACCACGTCCAGTGGTAAGGGGCCGTTAGTTTTCCTTTGATTTCGGTAAGTTCATCAGCAAATCCGGACACTTGAGGTGAACGTAATGAAGGCTCGGCACGAGTCCTACCTTGGAAATAACCCGAGTTGTTTCCAGCAGAAAAGTGCTCAGGCCTACATGGCCAAGTTCCTCCAAGTGTGGTGCCGAGTTCAGTTGCCCGACTTTGCTGGCACCGAGGAACGGCCGTCATTTTCACCAGGTTCGCGCCCACCTCACCTCTTAGTGTGGTCGTTGAGCGAAAGTAAGGTGTGTCAAGTTCTTCGTCACAGTTCGAGTCACTGGAAGGAACATTGAAGGGAGCCCGAGAAGAAATAGACGAGGAATTCCTGCGTGCAACGTGCGCGAAGCCTAAGAAGCGACTTCGAGCTTGCATTAGTCGCGTTGGAGAGTATTTCGATATCTAGTTGTTCCACATTGTTGGGGATGATGCAATTTACCTTATGTGTAAATTCAGTCAGCATCGTCCGTTTAGAAGCTTGAAATATATTGCTGTGTGTAGGCGCCCATAATTTTGGGACACCCTGTACATCGTGCGGGATATCTCAATCTCAGGTATCCTAGCATGGTAATCTACTACTCTCCAACGACTTCAATCGATACGTATCCGATACTTTGCAGCTTAATATCCTACTCTACTACGATCCTAACCTAATGATCTCCTAATCTATCTATCAATACATAGGGCTAAGGAGTTACTCTGAGGATTCATTCCCGAAACTTGGCAGAACCAATCGTGCACAGGAAATACCTCCACGACACAAGATTGCTATTCTTGCTCTCCAATCGATGCTCACTTTTCGGTTGTCACCACCCCCCCCCCCTCCCTCCTTCAGTGATCGATGTCGTACCGTGACGATATGACGTCATAATGGCGAAAAACCCTTTTTTGGCCACAATCAGAAAATATAAAGTGCGCTTACTGCCAAAGGTATTTTTCACTTCGCTCCTCAATAGGAACAAGTTGTCTGTTATAAGCTTGCATTAATTATTTTGAGCGGCTTAAGAAATCAGAAGGCGTAATTTTAGGCCGAACTGCATCACTCTCGACGAAATCCACTGGTTCGTGTGCAAGCCCAGACACTGCCACAGCGAGAAGAGCATGCATCTCCTCAGCACGAGTATTTGAAGAATACCGATCAGAGGCGTAATCGCTACTACAGGACAGACCGAGGAGATGAGAACACCGTAGCTGCTCGTTCGTCCAGTAACGCAGTGAAGAAACAGGTCAGCAGGCCATCGGTATGATAGCAGCACTGAAGCTCTCGCGCTTGCTGTGGCCAGTAGCGTTGTGGAAGGTTGACTAACAGAATCTCCACAGAATCAGTTTTCACAAGCACTATCTCGACCGAAAGAAAGGAAGCACCACAAAGAAGAGGAACGAATTCAGAATCTTTTAAAGATTTCGATTTCAGGTTTCGAATTGGTCACACAAGACAAGAGACGAAATACTGTGTGAGCTGTTCCTTGAGAAAAACATTGATCTACGGAGTTCTCGAAAACTTGGTTGTGGTAGATACAGTAAAGTAATCACAGGGCATTTTGTTTCAAATGGACATGCGGTGAGTAGTTTACCTGAATCACTCTCGAGTTTACAGGGTTACAGAGCCACAAATCGTGAGCCTGCGACAATGCTACATATTTCCAAAGCCATGATAGAACGCCGTAGAAGCTAGAGTATAGTGCAACCAGCGCTCACGGCGTTAGGTGGGGGGGGGGGGGGGAATTCAAAACAAAGCCGATGGTAAATGATACTAGGACTAAGCCCAGAAGAGAGGGAAAATGCCAGGGAGACACAAATGGCTTACATCTTCCCCCAAATGCCTTCCCCTCCCTGAGGCTCAGTCCCAACTACTTTAAGTGACTCCCTCCGATATCCCGAACCCCACCCCCGAACGACATGAGCGCCGTGCTACTAAAACGCAGAGTATCATGGCACTAAATAAGAGTTCACGCCTAAGAAGCGCTAAAATAATGGCACGAGGAAAATAAAGAAGCAGTAACATTATTGTACAGCAGCAAACTAGGGTTTTGCCACTTCCGAATTTCTTAATGTCTATAGGTAGAAAACTCGGGAAATCCACCTCATCGAACTTCAAGAAAGTCTAAGGCACACCTAGGCTGGACTAAGTAAGCGAATTGCTGCGAATAAGCTCAAAAGGAGCAGTGGACGTAAACATTCGTATATGTGACCACCATTAGATATGAATGTTATTGAGCGCACAACGCTAGTCTTGCCAGTTGATTCAATCTGTCCACACGTGGTACTTCGTCGACTATGAATTCTGATATCGTGCTCGGCTGCTGCTCATGTCGTCCGATGGAAAATTTTCTCTGCATCGGGTGCGCCTCGTCGTCATGTCTCGGCTGGTGATTACCGCTTGATTCTCGCCGCCGACTCTGAATAAAGATGTCTGCATTCCCTGCTTCCAAATTCTCTTTTCCTTTATTCTTGGCTGGCGGTCCATTTTACACTCCTTGCTTTGATTATCACGGCATTCCTAGACCACCCAACACGTTCCCCCGAGCGTACCTTTAGAAGGCAAAGGTCGGGATTAGTTGACCTAACCAACCTTTTCGGTCATGTCTGTACTTGGTTACGCACCCGTACAGATGTTCCCACGCTCAAAATCTCGAACGGCGCGGTAAGAAGGCCTCAGGGCACGTACTATGCGCTATCGCCGCCTGGCCCGCTACGACCGCCCACCTTGGGATGTGGTGCGTGGCTGGCATAACGTGTGAAATCAGCTAGGGTTGATTGCCGTATCAACCGATAGAACGACTGACATCTCCAGGCGCCTCTTTTCCCCAAGCCAGCCTCCTTCACTGCTAGTGGGAAAGAGGGTTTTGTTAACGGCCTTGTCGACGGTTTTTCTCAGTTTTTTCTCCACTGTCGTTCCACTTCGCATCTCTATACTCAGTTTCAATCGCCATAATACCCCCTTATTGAGCCCGACTTTTGCCTTCAAGAAAGGTCGGTGCCGATCTCCAAGCCTCGACTAGCATAAACTATTAGCAATCCCTGGACGTCAGGGTGATCGTAATTTCGGGCCGCCCTGAACCCTTGAACTTCGGATGACTTCTGAGTGAAATCTCTGATCGGACCATGAACTTTGTCCAACGTCCCTATTGCTTGGGTATTCGTTTTCAAATAATGATCAATCTCTCTCGGAATCGAACAGAAGTTCCCTGGTATCTACAGAATTTGATTGGTATAGTCGATCTTCCCCTGGCCTCAGCGAATCTGCACGAATGCGAGTTCTCGTCGTGACGAAACGAGCAATCATGCACTTATACTCACCACGGATGGACATGAACACGGAGGCGTGAACCGAAAAAAAACCAGCTCGTCCGGATTTTGCAAATGTGCGCACAACCCACTAACACCACAAAGCCTGGTCCACGGAAACAGGATGGTCATATAATAATTCCAACAATAACCTTTATCTACATAAAGTTACTAACAATTCGAAGGAAGTCTAAAAAAGCTTCAGAGACTGTAACTATATCGTATAACGGGCGCCACTTTTTCTGACTTGAGACAATGGTAGAAGAAAAGATTTACGAACAGTCACGAAATTGGAATTTTCATTTGGACGCCAACAGCAGCTATTACCTTACAAATTTCCAACTTTTAGCATAAAAACTTCTGAACTTTTCTTACATGTGTTTGGAGGAGTAAACCTCATTTATTTTGAACTAGGGGGCTTCACAGAGAAGGCAAGGCCAAAGTAATGACCAAGCGTGAGACCTCAGGTTTCACAAAGTAGCGCAAAGCCAGTGAGGAAGAACAGAATCAGTGGCACCCGCATGTCCTCAATGAACACTGCGCCCTGTTCCAAAACATAAAAAAAGCCCCTGTAAGGGGATAGATAGTAAACGTCTAACAAGTAACCATGTCTGTCCGGATCGCACCAAATTTGGGAACTAATCTCACACTGAGCTTCTGGTATGCAATCCAGGCGATTTGTCATAACAGCAATTATGCTTCAGAATCAGAAAGGGTTCTACATGCAATGAAACTAACACGAAAGAAATATTACCCATTACCTGTAGTGAGAATGAGACTTTTATTCTGGAGAAGTGTTCGATTGAGTCGTTCACCAGGCCCTAGTTTCTTCAGATTCGAACAATGTGGGCCGAGCAGGCAACTTAGCCACTCATTTTTAGGTCGCAATCAAGATGATCAACACTCAGAAAGTAACGGAGGAATTTCGGCAGTAAAATTATCTTCCCGAGAGATTGAAATCTGGAAAAGCGGCTCAATCATCCATCTAGTTCGGATGCCTTGGCCACTATGGGAAGCATGGCAACACATATTTGCTCCCAATGACTTCGCAACGGAGGCGATGTAATGGGTGCTTTATATGAAGAAAACTCTGCAAAATACCGACTTTTTCTCACAATTCGAGATAAAAGTGGATTGAGCAGCGGTTCACATCACAGCAGGATAACAGCTCGCAGGATGCGGTAAGACGCAATGGTGCTCATCAAGAGGCTCTTCATTGTTGAGAAGTCAGCTCGCAAGAAGGTTGTAATTACAAAATAGCATCCATCGAGCATGCATTCCTCAACCCCAAACAACTTCCCACTATGATTTCGTCACGTTTATAAATGCTTGCTGCTCAAAGGATGCGAATGCGACGGCTGGGAGATGGAGCTCATTGAAAGACCTCATTCTGAAAGGCGATGCGACCACACCACCAGCAAAGACTAGGCATGCCTTCCGCACAATGCCTTACTCTCTTTCTCACTAGGACGCTGCAAACTAGCATCGCGTTCCAGACTTGCTCTTCACTCCCTGACGCTTTCTTGTGATTTGTCAATGACGGTATAACCGCTTCTACAAATGAATTTACAACCGGTAGCTAGAGCTGTGATTAGTAAATATAAGCCACCAACTTCATCTTAAGCTGCCGTTCAGCTAGCAAACACTGTGCAGATGAAAAGGACCCGTGAAGGAGCACCAGGCGATGATTTGGATGTCTCAAGTAATATCTGCAGTATATTACATGCATACGGTAAGCAATTTCAAAAAGCGCTGAAGTCATTACGACCATCAGCAAACAAGCGATAACAGAAATACGTAACACAGTTTAGCGTGGAATTGTACATCGCGATCTCAAATTGGAAAATATCGTCATCTTTCCGGACGAAGGCATCATCAAAATCAGTGATTTCGGATTCGCACGTAGCGTAGGTTTTCCTCAGATTACTTGACAGGGACTTCAAGTAGCGCATAATAACCAGCGCGCTACAATAACTACCGGTATCGCGCGTATGTTGTGTATCCTGCACAGCTACCACTGATGCTCACTTTCACTCACAACGCTGCAATGTTGGAGAGTAGCTGCGATTAGACCACATGGGTAGTCTATGTAGTAAAGTGTATTAAAACATCACAATCAATCTCCGATTAGGTTGTAACCGATGTGCATCCAAGAATGTGTTCTACGAGAAGGCTTATAAACTCGCCGCCCTAGATGTAAACTTGCTAATATGAGGGTCAAGAAATGATTGTCACCAATATGGAAACCGAATGCTATGTGACCCTTTTTCGACGCTAATGTGAGGCGTCTCACTTGGCAGTAAAGGCCCCTGTCCAAAGTAGAATGTCATTTTACGATCAATGCAATTGGCTTGTCCCTCTCGGCAAAAAATTGGGAGAAAATAAGAGCGTGACACGATGACATGCTCAACGGATTTCGCGACACCAAAGAAATGGTTCATACACTTGAATGAGAGAGTGTTGAATGTGTCGTTCAGGTGATACGAGGGGACGCCCTTTCCGAAACATACTGCGGATCGAAATCATATTCTGCACCGGAAATATTGAAAGGCGAGCCATATGATCCATACAAATCCGATGTTTGGTAAGCCGTTTCATCCCTATATTCATACAATTCCAAAGCGGGCACTCGCACAATTGGAATGAAGAATGAATACGTTAAAAGAATAATTCTACACCAACTTCTCAGCTGTCTCTGATTAGATCGGCTACCGCAGAATGTAAAGCGATTTGAAATGCGTGACGGGCATTAAATCTAGCCGCGTCCTGCCGTGGGATGCCACCGACCATTAGCGAGGTCTGCAGCAACCAGCGGCGACAACATACTTCCACTACCATGCTAGACTGTTGTTCAACAACCTTTTTCCTTTCGATTTTGCTCTGACCGCCACTTGATTTATGTGGAAGATGAGATGAAAAAAAAATTTCCTCTCATTGAATTCAAGGCTGAAAGGGTTAGATGTCCTGCTGAGACCAACCATGTTCAAATAAGCGCTTCTACCTTCGCAGAGCCTGATAGCTAGTTAAACATTTGATAAGTGAGAACCACTGCCGCTGAGGACTTTGACTCAGGGTCAAGTATACGCTGGCGGTACTTTTATCCTATACGACATTTTTCGAACATATTGAAGTTCAATATGACTGATGAAGAACTCCATCGTTTTAAGGTCAGTTGGAGTGATCGCATTTGTGATCGTGACAGACTGCATGCCGTATTTTGTGAGAAGCGTCCCAAATCCACAAATTGTGGAAGCACAGAGGTGAACAAAGTAAATCTTAACAGTGAAACCTACCAATGGGTTTACGGTCAAATTTGCTCACTTTGAGTGAGAACACTCCATGTGATTGAAAAACTCATTTTCAGACTTCGAGCGTATGAATATCCCGCTAAACTACATCTCTCAGCCGAGTGTCGCTTCTCAATTGACACCATGATGACGTTCTCATGGCGTGATCGACCTAATATATCCCATTGCGGTTGTCTGCCGTGGTTTCAGTCATTACCGCCTAACGCTTCACACGGGTTGAAAATCCACATTCTCGACTGAATTAGATGCGGAAGATGTAGACATCTGTCACTGACTCTAGACCGTTCCCGATAGCGCATGATTCCCAGTTTTACTATTTTGAAGAGAGATTACGCATAAAGTTCTGAGTGGTGTTTTAATCCAGAGAATCGAACACAAACAAGAACAGGGATCATACCTCTACAAGCACTTTATGATGCTCCTGAGATGTTGAAGGTAACGATTCTATGAGGTCTCGAAATCGACCCAACTCCAACTCCGCCGCTCGACCTAAATACATCATTATAGAGCTTACATAGTACTTTTATCCAAAGCATAATATAACTTCTCTTCATTTGCTCCATTGTAAAGTACCAACCCCCTTCCCCTATGAGCTTGACATTCCAAAGAATCTCCACCTAACTCCGTTCACTGTACCATGGATGAACCTGCTGGTAAAACCACAACAGCTACATCATAGAATTTATTTGAAGGAACGAAACAATCGTTCACATAACAATTTGTTGACAAATAAAACCAAACAACAAGCTATATAAAGGCTGTATGAATAACAAGGAAGCAAAACAACAAAATCAACAATAGTTATTCTTCGTAACTAAAGATGTTACTACTTTTTATAAACCACACAGGATTCATATCTTAATCAATCGTCCATGGCCTCGCTTTCTTGCGACGCAGTAACCTTACTTCCTGATCGTCCTACCTAAAATGGCAGCGTTCAGCAAGAAGTACAACCCTATCTAAAAGCTATTGGAAACGAACCCTGGGGTTATAAGTCCACTTGGGGAAGACTCTCTTGTAAAGAGACATCATTACGGAATCAGCAGCGTTTAGTTGTTGATCAAATCGGCATTTCATATGACCATGTGTACCTGGAAACAAGAACACTGAAGATTCTAAACAAAGTACCATACCATTAATGTTCTAACAGTGTAACGAACCCAGAGCTTCCTTTATATGTCCGCGGCGGCCACTTGGTGTATATAATTCCACTGGCTTGAACCATTCGATATCCTCTGTAATTTTAGGAAGCAATGGCTAAAGCCGAATACAATTTTAGCACAAGGCAAGATAGAGCATTCTTGCCATGCATTCAGGATGGAGGCTTTTCAACGCTAGCCAATTTCGAAAGCTACATCAGAAAGCTATCCAGTGAGCGTAGTGCTCGTGAATCGCTCACCTCTGTTGAAGAACATGTAACGGCAAACAACCGATCGTTTATTAATTTTGAACGGATGCCCTGACAGCACAATTCGTTTCAAAACTATTCTATCAGGATTAATATCCAACAGCGATCCTGTTGCAACGAGTTCCTGAAAGAGAAGAATTGAAATAAACATCGACCACCACAAATGATTAGAAAATCTTATGCACGAGAGAGGGGGGGGGGTAAATGGGGTGGGTGCACCAACAAGATTCGAGGTAAGTAATATGAACAGTGGATACCTCCTCCCCAACAAAATACTTCTATCGTAACGTACTGGTGTATCGGTCTGTAGGTATGCATTTTTGTCGGTGTGTCCGTCTGTCTGTCCGCGAAATGAAGTGGCAAGAAAACTAATGGTATAAACAAACCGCTATTCGAAGTCATGAGATATTAATCTTCTGCAATGGCGTGATTGTTATAAGACCCTAACAGCTATATAAAAACTACTGAGACACTCTCCGCCATTTCACATGGGACTGCAGCAGCAGCTAGAGTGCAGAGGAAGGTGAAGGGGGCAGAGGGTGGCCGGAATAGCGGAACCTTAGTTTTGCAGAATCGATCTGTCTTGATAAGATCCTTCACTACACAAGACATTTTGCGCATGCGCATCTCCTGAATGAGGTGTTCACCACACAAGTGAAAGTGAGCACAGTGGAGCCCATTAAGGATTCGCAGGGAAGGAAGGTCAAAACAGTTGCCGGGAGACAAATTTGGTTTAGGTATAATCTGCCGCAAAAACTCAATGCAATTAGTGCGATATTAACTTTCATGATGCATTCAATGCGGTAAACGAGCTTCCTCCCCCTCCCCACCCTTGTTTTACATAATAGAAGCAATAGCAAATAGAAACCACCTCTTTGCCTGCTTTGCCTTCACGGAATACCAAGACTGATGCCGGAGGAAAAGTAATTGGCGCGAAGACAGAAGCAACGCAACACGCATTCGCAGGCAAATTCGCAGGCAAATAACGTTCCATCTAGAGAAGCAAAGTAAGAATATGGTAATGAGGCTAGCTAAGACCGAAAAGTTTGAAAAAAAAATTGAAATAAATCATCTTAATTAACCTTGAACTTGTTTCCATTAGTGTGCTGACTGAAAATGGGAGACGCCTCAAATTTACGGAATCCGACACTGAAGATTAATTTCTAAAACAATACACTATACTAGAACAAAATAAGTAAGTAGGTAAGCAAGAGTAGGTAATTGAGTAAGTAAGAAAGAAGTTGAAAAGCAAGCATGAAAAAAAAGTTTTGTGTTAAATGACAGACCTGTTTGCTCATGATCGGAACCTTACATGAAGGATGTTTTCGGATTACGAAGTTTAACACAGACATACGCTGTTCATGAGGCAACAGCTGGTACAAGATCAAGGGGGCAGATGGGTCCCATTGTTCTGAAACAAGCGATCCTGGTGAATGGAGCAAAATCGACGCGTTCCTTCCATAATTATTTTTGTATTAATAAGGATGAGTAGAACGTTTAAAGCGATGTTCCGGGTACAACAGAGAGGACACCCCAACGCCGTGCTGTTTTGTGGTCAACTGATGATAAGAACAAAAATAACAAGCTGATAGCGGATGCGCTGGGTTTTGCTGACCTTCTTATGGAAAAAGGATCTATCATGTCATTATAGGCCCGGCAAGCATAGGATCAAAAATCTACCCGAAGATGTTTATTAAATAGTCTTACGATTAGCTAAAGGTTTACTGAACAAAGCTTCCAGGATTCAAGAAATATCTCGATGACCACCTGCTTCCGCGATGACTTTCATGTTTATGTTTCATATTTTAGATTGATTCAGACCTCTTCATATACTCTCTTTCTATAGTTTTTATTGTAATGTTGTTTTACTATACCTCCTATTGCCTTCTTTTACTATACCTTTGTGATGGCACTGTAATTATTATGTTACACGTGTTCAACAAATGCTAGGTTTCTTCTCGTTTGAACACATGAGGGTTCTCATGTAATAAATATAGATATATAAACATGAATATATAAATAAAAAATATATATATAAAGCAAAGGTAAGTGAGATGATAGAGGTAATTTTAAACAGGAAAAAAGAAATCAGCAAAAAAAAATAACTAGAAAATAAAATGGCAAAAAAGTAACTTACGAGCGAGTGTAATCGGAACTCTATCAATCTGCAAGGTGACATACTGCCCAGAAAAGACGCATGCTGTAGAATCGTAATCGCCAATTTCACTAAGAACTGTCTTTTTTGTTTTCTTATAGTTTTGAAACTGGAATATTCGCGCGTAGTCCGACGGTAGGTTCTCCTTGGCATCCCACGGAGATGTTCTATAACAATAATGGTACAGGTACCAAAAACATATCGCAAAAAAACAACCTCTTTTCAAATTTTGGAAAATACAACGTAGCAGCAGATAAGAGAAGTAAAAAGTAAAAGTAACCTGAAACTTTTCAGTCCACGGTATTTCTGGAAACGAATTCTTGCGAGGTCGTTTATGGGAGTATCAACTTCATCAGGAAACTGCGCATCTTCTCTTTCACGACGATATTTTTCCACCTTGAAATAAAGAGCTATCACAACCATCACCTTAAACGCGTAAAAGTAGGCTGCCTAATCCACAGATACCTACATACTTCGTCAAGGTCATCAGCTTCATCTCCGTCATCGACTTCCGACATCATATCGTCACTTTCATCAATATGTCGACCCTCCCCTTCACTCATTTCAGTAGCTGCATCCATCTCCATTTCATTGACATGATCTTCCTCTTCTTCCTGTTAGGAAATTACCTTGAAGTATCGATGCTCAATCGGAAACAATGGAAACCCTACCTCGTCGGCGCTGTCCTCATCATTCATCACGGTGCTACGTCAAGCAATCAGCAAATCAGTCAATAATTCCGTGCGCTTGGTCATAGGAAGTATCCCTGTTGTTGGCACTTGCCGAACACCGGGCCTCGTTTTTCATGGAGTAAGACTGCCGTGAATATGAATGAACATAGACAATGCTACACAATCTGATGCACCTACATTTGGCATCATCAGCAATATCGAACTCGTCAGGCCATGTCTGTTCAGCATCCATTGGATCTGGGACAATTTCTGACTGAAGGGGTTCACGTCGCGACTCATCGGCAACCACCAACACTTTTGGAGCCGTATCATCTTCTTTGATAACAGCTTTTTCATTCTTAAAAACCAACAAAAAATTTGAGTTTCAGAAGTTATCACTCAAATGCTTTTACTTACCTGTTTCAATGGATGTGGATCAGCGTGGGCAATATACGACCTATTTGGAAATCTCCCCAACCTTGAATGTGGACCAGGTGGTTAACATTCCAAGTTGGACCACGAAGGTAACCGCTGGCCAGTACAGAACATATGCCAGACTATAAAAACTGGTAAGGAACAAGCGTAAGAGGATGATAAAAGAATTTCACCAACGTTGTCGTCAGCAAGCTCCAATTTCTCAACCAGAATATGTGGACGACGCTTCTGCAATATCATTTTGTTCTTCTTCATATCGATGAAATGCCGAACAAGCAGAATTTGCTCGGCCTCAGTATCGGAGCAGAACAGTTTGCTTGCAACCAAACTCCTGAAGAGACGACAATGATACGAAAGCAAAAGCACTTCAAAAGATCGAAACATCTCGAAGACACACTCATCGGTGATCAATGATTGCACATGCTTCCTGGCATCCTCGCGCTTCTTTCCAATGGGAATTTGAGCGAAATTGGGGGTCACATTGAACGATGGATGGCAGACCTGGAAAAAGCTCCATCAAACGTTTGAAGAGCTAAATCTGCTGACACTATCAAGTCAACCCTCTCATCGAATTCAGTTGTCTCAGAGCGCACAGCAAAATTCAACAAACAAAAAAGACTGTGCGGATGCATTCGCCAATGTCAAGTTGAGCTGATACCTTCTGCTACGGTCAATATTCACTTTTCATGTCCTATGAGTGTATTGCTCAATGCTCGGCTACTTCTGAGCCGACGTGGAGAACAGCGCTTTCTCAAGGCTTTGATGTTAGCATACAAGCCTACCAAAATTGTTGCCCTTCCATTTAGATAACGTGCACACTGCACGAGCCTTCTAAGAAGTTCATTAGATAGAAAGATGAGAGCAGATTTAGAATTACGAATCAGAGCAAGGCCTAAACCCTAAACACTACTTATTCGCCTGGACTAGCAAAAACACGCCTTTTTTTCTTTTACTATGCTTTTCCAACGAATCCATATCCCTCTCCAAATTAAGTTGATTCACGCGGACACTAACCGTGAGCTTTGATAATGGTGAGAAGCAGGCGATCCTCATCACTCAGCTCTCCATTTGTAGGCCATAAGAAACATATAACATCTGATACCTAGAAACAGATCTTGAAAATTGCCATAATTTGAAACGCCTAAAAATTTACCTTTATGCAATCCAAAACATCGTCGACTCTCCTGGGATCTGGAGTTAGTAAACCCATCCTTGACTTGAACCGAGGAACCCTAGAAGAAAACGTGCTACACCAGATTAGAAAGCTCTGACTGAACAAAAAAAAACATACGCTAGGTAAACGATGTTATGCCCTAATGTACGCACAATAGTATCATCACAAGTAGCAATCCCATTCACAAAGTCCGAAGGGGTTTGGCTTCCTCCGAATGACAACACTGTCTGTAAATGAACAAGCAATCCTCACAAGTAATTAGTTCAAAATAGCTGGCGGAGGACGTCCAGTGAACAGTAAACTAACAATCAATGTAGGAGCTGACCAGCCTCCATCTAACCCACGACGTTGTTCAAGAGCACTTCGGCGCTTGTTTGCTCGAATTTGGGCAGCTTGTTGGAGCCGTTCGCTCTTCGACAGAAAACGCTTTCGCGACCGAACAACTGCAGAAACTGCCACACGGCCTGAAGCAGTATGATGAACTGAAACTATGATGAGAGAACTAAGAGCGCCAATCAAACATACCTCTATTTTCAGCATCAATCTGTCCTTTTGATCGTTTTCCCTTGAAAGTTTTGTGCGGTTTTGCTGGCCTTTTGAAGAGGCCAGGTTGGTGACCCGTGCTCATCTAAAATTTGAAAAACAATGCTAAGCAAGGGATAGAATAACACGTTTGAGGAAAATTGCACAACAATTACAAAGACTGCGACAGCGAGTACATTCAAAAATGCTTTCAAGACCTGCTGGTACGTGACACTAGGGTCATTTATATGCAGGGGGTGGGGAGATGAACGCCAGAGAGATACAAGTAGTGGCTTACATTTCTCCCGCAGAATCTCGTCCCTCTCGCTAAGGCTTGTCCCATAAGTTGTGTAGGTGGCTAACTTACTTCAATGAATGCCTCTCTAACGACATGAGCGCCAGGAGCTTCAAACTCATGGATGTAGTGAACATACCACACAAACAAGGAAAGCAATGCCGCGTGCTCGCAATAGATTTCAGACCCGTTGCTAGGCGAGTTGCAACCTGCAGAAAGGAGCAGATTTTTTCCTAAGGAAAAAATATCCGTGTTGTTAGCGCTGGTCACTACCTTGCCTGTTAGGACACAGATAATAGCAAAGGAAACTTCAAAATGAGTCTAGTCAGCTGGTCTTGCTGTTCCTCTTCTCCATCTGCATTTTGAGTCGTTATTTCTGGGAGTGTAAAATTCAAACGGACGACCTCTGTAATTTGTTTGCTACTGCAGAAATAAGGGGTAGGCGTGTTCGTTACCTAGTCCGATAATTCGCAGAAATATTCTTTGAAAATAACTAAATCACCGAAAGCAAATCATCGCCGGCTATTATATATTTGCGTGGCTGAATACCAATATGAAAGTTTTTTGACAAAATTCCGCTTTTATGGAATCCTATAAACATGCCTCTTCGTAGTGCTGTTATTCAAAATAGTTGTGTGTCTGTTTTTGTTTTCTTGAGTACTTGTAAGTTGAAACACTTAAGAAAAGTACGTTATGGACTACACCTTCTTTTTAAAATTTTTTTTCTGTTTTTTTTTTTTTTTTTTTTTTTTTTTTTTTTTTTTTTTTTTTTTTTTTTTTTTTTTTTTTTTTTTTTTTTTTGTTTTTTTTTTTTTGTTGTTTGGTGTTTTTTGGGGGTTTTTTTTTTTTTAATGCGGGGGGTGGTGTTGCACGGCGTAGAGACTATGAAAAACACATGCTGCAAAGTGAAATATGTTTGCGCTAAATGGTGGTAAAAATAAGCCATAGATTTCAGGGCCGAATAACGCGTATCCCAGCAACCTACGCATCTCATGTCATAAATAACTTGCAATAGGAAACGTATGGGTCAATTCCTTCGTGTACTAATTGAGGAGTGCTATGTGGTCATATTTTTTCTTTTCCAAGTGAAAAATCATGGCATTCTATCGAACGCTTGATTGGAAGAGAAAAGCCGCGCCGAGTTTTTCAGCTCCATTCGATGAATGATTGGGTCGCTCAGGCAAGAGTTGCAGGACCACACTTTGTGGAATCGTTTGTAGTTCGGTGAACCAAGTGCTACGGTGAATTCGCATTCTCCAAGGGTCTGCGTAATTTTCTACCTGGACTGAAATTTTGCCCAAATCCGTAGTAATCTAGATTTCCTTTTTGTGAGGGTCTTCCTGTTCTGTAAAACCGCTCTGTCTCGTTCATTCAAGGTGCTCTTCTTTGGGATCTGCCGCAGAGAGGACTGTGAACTATTAACAGGCGGCAATTCCTACTTTATCAGTACCTTTCTGTTATGGCTGGAATTGTCATCTGAATCGAAGACTTCGCAGCTTCATCAGTACAACTTTTCAGGGTAGTTCTAGCAACGAGGACTAGGTTCTCGCTGTTCGTTTGGGTTTCATGGCTGACAACGTAGTTCCTGCTCCTGCACCGCCTCCAGCCGCCTCTTCTGCGCCGACTTTCCGTCGTGGATTCGTCAAGCAAGTAAGGATTTTCGTGATAGCTTAACAATGGCATAGTAATTGATACAGTTGAACCATTTCCGGACCACATAATGAGTGATTTGGGGAGAAAACTTGCCAAAGACCTCTATTGGTTTGGGTGATGTCCTGGAAATCCACTCCCAGTCTTGCGATGTAGCAGGTCATTTTTATGGATTCCTGCTCCGAGTTACCGGCAAACTCCCCTAGACCGATGGTATAAGTCCAGGTCAAGTCTACCTAAATATGCATTGCTTCTTCGTTTCGCAGAAAGAACAAGGAATATACTGTTGACGGATACGATGTGACGCTTGCATTCCCACGTGTTTTCCATCAAAAATGGGTCCAAGAAGTCGAGAATGAATCCGTCATTACTGCACCGGTACTGTTGGTTACTCGAGAGCTCTGTAACTCGTATACCGCGCTCGCCGGAGGTCATCGCTGCGTTTAACAAATAATTTTTTCAATTGCCCTAGCTGTATGTGGTGCTCGTGTACCGATTGGGCTTCTGCATCATCCGGTGTGTCATTCTCGGTAGGACATAATCAGATTTTTCCACTATTCGCACGGTCGTCAAGAACCCCAAGTATCGGCCATTGGTCATTCGGGGGGGCCTGATGTTCCATCAGCTTGAAAAAAAAGTTTCGCGCCTCGCTAAATTTTGCTTTATCCTCTATGAACCCCAACGCCCTGCCCATGGGGCTTTCCGCGCAAGCGTTTCACTAAGCCTATTCGCATAGATTCCATCCGCGCCATCTTTTCTGTTACACATAATTTGAGATCGTGTTGCTAGGTTAGATTTCATTTCTAACGCTTGAAGCTGCAGCTATGTCACCATTGCGTGATTTGTCAAGCCCCCATAAAAAATTTGTACGATTTCTCAAATGTGATGAACGTTTTACGGCCGTCCATATTCAAAGTTCATGTAAGTTCACCTCTCTTCGTGCTCACCAACAGCTTACCTTTTCGCGGACAGGTGCCTTGGTAACCGCAAATCTGAAATGCGGCGAAATTCGGCCTTTCGGGGCTGTGGACAGAGTCAACCCTGCGTTGCGCAGTTCGCAACGGCACGTCGAGAGATCCTCAACGCACGCTGTATGGGCGGAGACACAGACGGCTCGAGCATGCGAGTGTGAATGTTCGCGCGAGAGAACGTGTCTAATCGGGCGAAACTTGCTCGGCTCTCTGCGCACGTGGCCGCCTGACAACTGCGCAACGTCCAGGTTGACTCTGGGCGGGAGCACCTGATCGCAGCGTGCTGTGTTCGTCTGCTCGTTATCCAAGGCTGAGTCAGCCGATGGCGCGTTTTTTGATTGGCCACATAATAGTGAAACAGAGCTCCACTGTCCTGTAGACTAAAGCCTTTGAGTACCGGGCGCAAGCGCCTGCATTCGCGTGCTCCCAGTTTACGGACTACTTGCACTTTCGTCTATGGTCTGGTCCTGCCACGAATGGCGGAGAGCACAGACGATCAGAGAATGGCGCCTGGCTCGGCTCCAAATCCCAAGGAGGGAGGTGAGAGCCTTAGGACTAAGCCTTGTAAGGGGGAGGGAATCCGAGGTGGGTGAGCCAATTGCATTGTGGCAAAAGTTTGAATGTGTGAGATCGCAGTGGTGATGAGCCGCTGATAAGGTGAGAGAGCGCAGACGAAAGCGTCGAGTGAGGCAGCTTAAAGGGCCGAGTTCAAGTAGTCCGTCGATCAGTCCCCCCCACCCGCCGACTCGAGTTTTCACCTTCGCTTGTCCGGCCCACACTTTTTCTAACACGCCCGCTATTGCTTTGGCGAAAATTTCCAAGCGAAGCGGCCAGTATGCCTAGCTAAATCGATGCAGTGCACTCTTCAGGGCCTTCGCCATTGATTGATCCCATATTCCTGCATCTAACTGCACCGTTCATGTTCATGGATCGGAAGAATTCGGTGTGTTTTCTAGACAGCAGAACTATAGCTTGTTTGAAGGTTGATTTGCACGGGATTTGTGTATTTCTCCGTAATGTCATTGTTTTGGGTAATTTTTGCCGCGCATTTATTGTCGCCCTATTCAGTGCTATCCTTGGAAGATGCCGCTCGTTGACAGGCTCAACTCCACCAAATCGGTTCCTCCACCGACTTACGTCTACCTAAAACCGTGTGGTTGCCCAAGACTTGGTAAACGTCCAACGGAAACCACTGCGGCAACTGTTGATGAGGTATTTGAGTATTTTTTAAAAATCTGGCTTTGTGTGCTTGTTGTTATCTCAGTATCGAGTCCTGCGGAAAAAGCTACTTCGAATCATGCGTTTTCTATCACTTTATCTTTTAAGCCTTTTGCTTGGGATTCGCGTGAGTTTCTTCGTAAGAAAATCGTTGGTCAGATGGTGACTTTTGTCAAGGAGTACACTGCTGCGTCTGGACGTGATCACGGCAAGATCTACCTTGGAGGAACGAGTTGGTGTTCTATTCATTCACTTTTATATGCGCAGTTTTGCTAATTTCGCAATTTTCTGTTTCAATATATTACCATTTATTTGTACCGATCAATAGAACGGTTTTTCCTACGACTTTTTTAGGTCCTGAAAACGCTGAAAACGTCACTGAAACAGCGGTGGCAGAAGGTTGGGTTGAGGTTAGACCAGGGAAGATAGCGGAGTGAGTTTGGACATTTTTTGTCCTGCCTTTTAATGATGTCGTAATCTTTAATTTTCAACTGCATTGGCTTTTCAGTGAATACGTCACGAAGTTGCTAGAATTACAAGATCAAGCTAAAGCTGCTGGAAAGGGTAAATGGGGTAGTTCGAGCGATGCCATTCGAGAGGTGAAATGGGTCATCGAAAATCCCAGGCAGTTGGTGGATCAATACAAGCAAAAACCAGTGGACGCTGTTGTTGAAATGGTTGGTGTTTAATACCTTCTTTTCGACCTCAAAACTTTGCTTTATTTATTGTGCAGAGTTTTAGTTGCGCTCTGAGTCTCTTAAATATTGGAAAGTATTGAATATATATGCTGCATAGTATTGCGTTGTGTGGTCCCTTCACTTCACTCACTCTTTTTATCCTCCTAATCCTGCATTCAAATGCCGCTAAGATTCTCAATGAAAGTAAAATAGCATGCCAGAAAGGGATTGATAAATGTTAACCGCTTCATGCTTAATCCTTTCATGGTTCCTTATAATGAACTTCAGTGGGATTGCTTCATTATTATGTCATTCAGGTGCGAGATGGGTCAACTTTACGAGTAATGCTACTACCCAGTTTTGAGTACATCACTCTGCAACTGTCAGGAGTGCGCGCCCCAGCAACACGTGCTGGAACTGACGGTAAAGCTGAGCAGTTCGCCGAAGAGGCTAAATACTTTGTCGAGCAAAGGCTTCTGCAGCAGGACGTAAAGGTGCGCCATTCTATCCAATATCACTTTTTTGGGGAGTGGGATCATTTTTTTGGGCGAAAGTGGTGTAGTGGCAAATGGCACGCTTA